TAGACAATGTGGGGCACACATAGGATGTAGGGTTCTTATGTGGCACGGGACAGATATCTAGAGGATGTGGGAGACATATAGGGTGTGGGACACCTGTGTGGCATAAGGAATCTAGAGAATATGGGGCACACTTAGAGTACAGGGCTCTTGTGTGGCATGAGACACCTGGAGGATGTGGGGCACACATAGGGTGTAGGGTTCTTTGTGTGCCATGCGGCATCTGGAGGATCTGGGGCCCATGTAGAATGTAGGGCTGTGTGGCATGGGGCACACATATGTTGTGGGACACCTGTATGGCATGGGGCATCTAGAGGATGTGGGGCACACATAGGGTATAGGGTTCTTTGTGGGTCATGGGACCCCTGGAGGATGTGGGGCACACATAGGGTTTAGGGTTGTGTGCCATGGGGCATCTAGAGGACATGTGGCATACATACAGCGTATAGAGTTCTTGTATGTCAAGGGGTATCGAGGATGTGGCGCCCATGTAGGGTGTAGGACATGTGTGGCATGGGGCATCTAGAGAACGTCAGGCACACATAGAGGTAGGATACCTGTGTGCCATGGGGTACCTGGAGGGTATGGGGCACACATAGGACGTAGGGCTCTTTGTGTAGCATGGGGCATCGCAAGCACGTGGGGCACACATAGGGTGTAGTGTTCTATAGCATGGGGTATTTAGATGATGTGGGGTACACATAGGATATAGGGATCTTGTGTGGTATGGGGCACCCGGAGGATATGTAGCACACATGTAGGGCTCTTTGCGGGGCATAGGGCATCTAGAGTTTTGAGCACATATATGGTATGGGATACATACAGGGTGTAGGGCACTTGGATGATGTGAGACTTGTGGTTGGGGCATCTGGGGCACCTATGTGGCCTGGGCCACCTGAAGTATATGAGCCACATATAGAGTGGGGCACATAGATGACGTGGAGCACACATAGGGTATGACGAGCTTATGTGGGGCACATATAAGGTGTGGAGCACTTGTATGGCATGGGGCACGTGGAAGGTACAGGGCACATGCAGGGAACATACAGTGTGCACCACGCATGGGAGCACCTGTATAGAATGTGGCACCTGGAAGACATGGATCACATAGAGGATGTGGGGCACTTGGAAAAAGCATAGTGCCTGCATGAGGGATCCTAGCATTAAAGGGAAGCAGGGCAGAAAGTTCTTCTTTGGGGCTCTCATTGCAGAGCTGTGAGGTGAGGCCAAGCCAGAGCAAGACAGTCTCCCCACAAGGGCAGTGTGCTTGGGCTAGAAACTACTATTTTCTGGCTCGCCTTATTAGGTCACAGCTTTCTCATGGCCCTTTCACATCATCTCCTGCCCCTACTCTTCCTTTCTCCCATTTGCAGCTCAAGTTCCAAGACAAAAGAGATGATCTTAAGGATTCCCAAAAGGAATCTTGGGATAATTGTCCCACCAGAACCCAATCGGCATCCTCAGGTGATCCACCCTAACTTTCTCGTCACCTTAGTTTTCCTCACTTCTTGCGATGGGTCCGACAAACTTTTCCAAGGGCAACAAAAGTAGATCCCCTTGAGCCGAAACAAACAACAGGATGCGGAGACACAGAGAATGCCCAGACCTCGGGGCTCACGACTGTGGAGGTGGTTATTACGGAAGCCCTGTCATTGATGAATGCAGCAAACTAGATGCAAGAGCTTTTCTGGCTTAACCTGTGGTGCCTGTTATTATTTTTACTTTCCAAATACACATTTACTGTCTCGATGGATTTGGCTGTCCTATCTGGGCCTGAAGGCAGTGTTCAGATTGAGCTCTCAGCTCTGTCACTAGGGATTATGGGTTTTGAGCTAGAAGTGACCTTAGACTTGGTGACCTTTGAGGTCCCTTCTAACTCCAAATCTGTAGGCCTATGTGTGACCATAGGCAAATCGCTTTATGTATCTGGGCCTCATTTTCCCCATCTGCGAAATGTTGTTTATCCTTGTTTTTGAAGAGGACTAATGACATTACGGGGTGATCTATTAACTTGTGCACAAATTGGATTTAAGTGAGGCAGTCATCAGACTCACATTCTCTTCCAAAGTCATCCATGGAATCCAGGGGCACAAAAGTCAAGCTGACAGCAATGGCCCAGGATGTAGTGGATGACCTTGGCATCTTCGCTCGCCACACCACCTTCACGGCCATTGGATTAAATTGTTCCCATCTGCCCATTGTGCTAGGGAAGTCTTCACATGCTTGGGGTAGACATGGCCCCTAACTCACCAACCAGTTTGGGGTCTGGTAACCTACCCTCAACCAGGTTTATCCAGAACAGTTTATCAGGGTGTGGCTTCTGCACATGCTATAGCTTCTTGGAGGCCCAGGTGAGAGTTGGGTGACAGGTGGACACCAAAGGTGGATGAGCAGTCCTGAAAAGGGCTCAGCAGCCCTCAGAGGTGCTGGTGCTCCCTGATACCCCATACACTCCAATCTCTCTGCCAAGAAAACCCTAAATGGGGTCATAAAGAGTTGTATGTGACTAAAAATGACTCAATATTATATGCAAAATGAGGTTATACTCATATACCTTTAAGCTCTAAATCCGAGTCTATGATAATTTAACTGGCAAGGGATTTCAAAAGGACAGTTGTGAGGACCTTCGAGAGGTCAGGAAGTTGGAAGTTACTTTGTTAGATTCATTGCACCAAGGAGTATCTGATAGTCTTGGTAGCCTCATTACATTTTGGTGCACATTTACATTACAAAAGTAAATGTGGTAGGCAAACATGACTATTTCCTCTGTTCCCAAATAACACATGGCACCCCAATTACCATGAAACAATCTTTGAATAACAGGGCCCTGGTTCTCATGCAGAACTTCCCCAAACAAGGGGCAATGATCCTTTTTTTTTAAACTCTAAAGAGTTCTCTTCCACATACTGATGGTTTCCCATTTGACCTTCTTGTTTTAGATTAGATTTGTGAAGTCACTGGTGTGCAAGGATCTGCCCATGGGGAAAGCCTGCACCGACTGCACTGCCACTGACTCTGTTACTTACAGACTTGGTTTCCTGGGGCACTTAGAGGTTAAGTGATTTGTCCAGAGTCATGCACCAGAGAACGACTGAGCCAGGATTCCCCTTCATTAATCCACCTCATCATAATCAGCCTCAGTCTCTTCCTGGTTCTGCCCAGGCTCTTCCTATTAATAAGCTCACCTATTAAACTAAAGGGTTCCTTATACTGAATAATTCAGCTAGGCAGCAGGATTGATTGATCTTGGCTATTCCAAAAACTCCAGCTTCACTATTGAGGGAATAAGATGGGGTAGAAGAGGCTCTACAGCAGGGGTGGGGATAATGAGGCCTTTGACCGAGTCCAAACTTCACAGAACAAATCCCCTTAATAAAAGGATTTGTTCTGTAAAACATGGACTCAAAGGGCTGCACTTGAGGACCTAGAGGGCCACATGTGGCCTGGAGGCTGCAGATTCCCCACCTCTGTTCTAGTGGCTAGCCCAGGGAGCAGGCCTGGGTACTGGGCATTTGCTTCTATAAAAAGAAATTCTGTTCTCAACCCCTGCCTCTTTAAAAAGTCTTTTGGTCCTGTACCAAGGAGCAAATTCTGAGAATGGTGGGAGGGTTAGAGGTGGCCTTTGCCTGGCCTAAATGCCATAGAAAGGAAATGGGCCACCCAAACAGTCTGGGAGTGGCTGGCTCTATATCAAGATAATTTTTTTCCACACTTGTCAGGAACCCCTAAATAAGGAAAAGCTACCAGAACCCTCAAGACCTTGGACACTGCTATCCACCTCTCCTTGAGATCAATGTCCCCCAGTGTCAAGATTCAGAAGTAAAATTACTCTGAGGAGCTTCGGAGAGACAGAGAATGGGGGGACTGAAGAACCCCTCCAAGTTGGGGAGTCCTATCAGTTCCACACACCTTTGCTTTGCATTTCCAGAAGTAGGTTGCTGAACCTGGGGGCTGCTTATAGTCCCAAATTCCATTATACTGCCTTTAAATCAAATTATATAATTGTATTAATTTTGCTTCTTGAATTTTTGTAGAGGGTGTGGAATGAGGTCAACAGGGCTGATGTGGTGGGTTTGTTTTGCTGGACTACATTTATTTGTTACTGAGAAGGGCTCTACATGAAGGAAGGGAGTAAAGGAGATCGCTGGGAAGGGGCAGGAATGTAAAAGAGAAAACATTAAATAGAACAAAAGTCTTGCATACACCAAGCCCTTTTTGTGCAATTAAGGAGAACAAGGCACAGCTGTACAAATAGATAAGGGATAGAAACACTGTTTATGAAAGTTGGTTTGTGTTTAGACAGGTTTTATATTCAAATCAGACTTATTTGTGGCATCAATAACCAATCAAATCTTTTGTGTTTCATTTGGAATGTATTCCTGAATGGGCTGTCGTTAAAATTGAGTTTGTATTCTTTCTACATAGTCATCACCAATGGTGAAGGGATAGTGAAACTCTCCCTCCCAAGAGAGATCTCCCCACCACCATTTATTTGTCCCAGGACCAAGAAATAGGGAATGACTGTTCAAAAGCATGTTGAGTTCAGTGTCTTTTGAGGACTACATACATAATACAGTACAAAAAAACCTGATTTCTGTGTGGGTAGATCTTTCCAGGTTTGCAACTCAGTTCCTCTCCTTGCCTTAGGAGAAGCAAAGGTGAGCCATGCTTCTAGTACTCAGCTTGGCTAACTTGGCTGGTCTGTAGGGGACAGATCTCAGCATTCTCAAGGCCTGGTTCTTGCTCCTGACCTTTTAGGCTTAGGAAGACTTGACAGAGATTTTCCTCTCCCCTGGCAGGGCTTGTGGGAATTCAGGGCCAGGGACTGACTGAACATATGTACACACAAGTGGACACTGGAGAAGGAAATGGCAAACCGCTCCAAGAAATCCTTGCCAAGAAAACCCCATGAGCGGTATTGGCATGCTATGGTCCAGGGTGGGTCCTGAAGAGTTAGACACACAATTGAATGACTGAATAACACACATGCAAAAATAATAAACTCAAAGTGCTTTCAAAGTAAATTTAATTCCTTCATTGAAGTCTCATGGTTGAATAGGAATGCCAACATCAGTCACTTTGGTTCAATGCTGGCTAACAGCTCAGCAGCAAAGCACCAGGAAGCTACAGCTGGAGCAGCAAGGAATCTGCTCAAGCCTTCTGCTAGAGATAAATGCCAGCATGGGCACTCACTGCAGACTAGCTTGTTCTACAGTTCTTTCTATAAATCTCCCCTTTAACAGGAGCATCTGTTTACCGGCGCCCAAGAAGACCCAAGAAAATGCAAATGAAGTTCTTTTAATTCAACAAAGTCTCCAAGATCTAAAAGCTCACAAGGTCTGATAAACCCTGACACCCACCATCTATCAGTCAGAATTCTTTCAATGTTCATTCCTGAGAAAACCTCATTCAGTCTCTGAGCACACCAAGTCACAAAATGCTACAGCCTCCTACAGAAGGGTCTTCTTCTTCCCATGTTATCATAGTTAATGCCTATTGCCAGTTGGACAGTCAACCTTGGAATCAAAAGTGATGACATTTTTGGTGACATTTTTCCTCCCTCCACAGCCCAAGTCATGGTGGTGCCACTAATGGACAAAGAAGAGTATTTAACTACAGAGGACAGAGCAATTCATTTTCTCATATTCCACTTGAGGCCTAAATTTTCTCTCCTTCCATAATTTAGATTTGGGGACAGGAAGAGAGGTGAACAGCAAAATATACTAATGATCAGGGTCAACTACTCTAAAGGAGGGATTAAAAATGCACCCTGCTCATACTTAGGGCCTCATAGATGTGAATGAGGAATTTCTGTGGAAAGGTAGAAATGGTTCTGAACGTAACCAAGGCCCATATTTTTTCACTCAGGGAGAAACCTCAATCTGTAAGTGTTGGTGGTTTAGAAGCAGAAGATCTGGCCAAAGGGAAAAGCCACAAGGATGGAAGTGGCTCTAGTCATCACTGATTCCAAGGAATGCCAACTACAAGAGAACTCCCCTCCCCGACTAGTGGCCCGTTCTCACTCCTCACTCTGTAGCCTCTCAGTTTTGCTGGCCCCAAACTAACCTCTCAACAACTCCATAACTTTATAGTGTTGACATGTCACCCTTTCCCACATGGCTGGCTACCCCCTGGCCTTCCCTTTTAGTTTCTGTCTCAATGCTATCCAAGTGTTATGAGCCTTGTGAGCTCCTTGAGGGCAGGGCCTTGTCTTTTACCTTCTCCTCGTTCCCAGTGCAAAGCCCGACATACAGCAGGTAATTGAGAAATGCTGACTTGGTAGCCAGGAATGCCATGGCTGGGGTAGTCTGGGGCTCTTGCTATGGCCTGACACTAGCACAGTTTAATTTTTATTTAGGTTTTGCAGATTTTTATTTTTAAACAAATAAACCAACCAACCAGAACTGCTGAAGTTTGCATGCGTAGTGGTGCATCTGCCCCGTCCCCTCCCCCTGCCTCCCTCCCCTCCCAGCCCTCACCCTCCCACCTGGAATTCTATGGTGGATGCATCGGGCCTGCTCTCCACAGAGTTAAGAGTGAAAGCTGAAAGACCCACTTAAGACTAACGAAAGAAAGTGGAGCCCCAGGAAACTGGATGTGAGCAAAAAATGTGGGGAGCAGGATGAACAAGCAGGGATTTCTACTGAACTTTTGTAATATACCAAATAATCACTGGCTTAGCAAAGAAAAGCCTCCAAAGTGAAAAGTGGAAAAATTATAAAGGAACGTGACTGAACAGGTAAGAGACCGACTCGCCATTGTGAGTCCTCCGGATGGCCTCGGCCAGGATCATAGAGATGTCAATCACCTGAAGAGAGGGGAAGAGAGGAAAGGAGAGGTTGGCCCCAGGCAAGGACAGCATCCACTTAAACTGGATGTGGGCAACAGTGGTTTGTCATAAGGCCTTCCTTGAAAAGTCAGGCCTGCTCAGGTCCCTGACCCACTCTGTATGGTGGGCAAACAGCCCCTCAAGATCTCTGTGACAAAATCCCCTCTTACCTGTATCTTGGGGCAATGCTTCATCTTGTCTTCCTGAGGTATTGTGTTTGTGACAACAACTGCCTCAAAGCAGGCATGGTTAATTCGAGAAATAGCTGGACCAGAAAAAATTCCATGAGTAAGGATGGCATAAACTTTGGTGGCTCCAGCTGACAGCAGTCTAGAAAAAGATATGGAGACAGTAACCAAATGGACCTAATTGCAAGAGGAGGTGAAGGGTGGGCAGAAGAAATGGCATGGAGAAAATTCATTTGTCAGGTTAACAAGGGACAAAACACAACCAACTTTACAACTAAGAGCCATGAATAGAAGCTCTTGAAATGAACAGTGATACTGACAGAGCACATGGCTATATTCTCTTCTACCATAATCAGTAATAGCCATCAAACTGCCATTCTTGACGTGCTAGACAGAACTCTGCCAGGTTAAATTCCCGTTACTACTATAGACCACAAAACTGTCTGAAGCAACTGTGTGTTCAATGGATCACTAAGTGCTCCAGGCCTGGGACCTTGAAAGGTCACTTTTATTCCCTTAAGGTAGTCACTTTCAGGGTAAGAGAACATGTGGGTTTTTAAACAGATCATTCTGATCAATAGATTATACCCAATCACTACCCCCCCCTCCCCACACCACCTACTCACTTATCTGCTGCATGACAGATAGTACCACAAGTATCAGCCATGTCATCCACTAGAATGGCTACTCGGTCCTTGACATCTCCCACTAGCACCATTCGGTCGACTTCATTGGCCTTCTTCCGCTCTTTGTGAATCAGAGCAAAGTCAACATTCAGTCGGTCTGCAATTGAAGTCACTCTGCAGGAAGATGGAGGTAAGGCAGTTTACAGATTATCAATAGTTCAGTGAGGAATCAAGTAGAGGGGGTGGGGGTGGGGGTGGGGGTGGGAGGCACTCACCAGTTCTGGGAGGCAGTGGAAAGTAGAATCTGTGAACTGGGGGGGTGGGGGACAGGGTTTAGGCTCTATCACCCAAATGGATCTCCCAATTTAAATACAACCGGATCATTCCAGTCTAAGTGCACAGATTGTTCCAATTAAAGTGACAACAAAAAACCTGTGGAAAAAAACCTGTAAACAGATATAAGACTAAGAGCCATTCCCCAATAGATAAGCAGTCAAAGGATAGTTTTCAAAAAGAAACAAACTCAAGCAAAGTAAAACAACTTTGAGGTTTCACCTCACATTTAACAAATTAACAAAGATAGCGAAAGGTAGAAATACTTAAAGCTGGAAGAGCTGTGGGAAGACAGGCACACTGATACACTGTGGGCAGAGCTGAGAACTGGTCCAACCATTCTGGAAAACAATTTGGAATTATTCAAGAAAAATCACTAAACTGTTCATACCTTCTAACTCCCAAGAGATTCCACTGCTGCTGGGCATAGAGCCCTCCAAAGAGGTAAAAAAAAACCAGTCCCACATATTTTAAGATATTCATAGCATGTTTTGTGGCCAAAAAAAAAAATGCACACACACAGGCAACACCAACAACAAAACAAAGTGGGGGGGGCATCAATTGGGGAATGGCTGAACTGAATATGACTTTAATAGACAATTTTTATGCTATAAGAAATGACCAATGAGGAATTCAGAGAAACATAGGGAAATATAGAACTGGTGTATCACAATAATGTAAATGAAAAGAACACTAAAGCAAAACCTGAACATTCTGAATCGTGATGCCCTGGAGATGCCAATGAAGTGGAAAGGCTAAGGGTGTGGGATGTTGCATACACTGTTACAGAGAGTTCATATTGCTTAACTTTCTGTGTTACAATGGAATGGGGCAGACGGGGTAGGAAAGGAGTATACATCTGGCAATGACAATGATGTAAAAACTAAAGGCATAAAAAAAATTTTTTTTAAAGCTTGTGAACAGAATGAATAACCACAACTATCCCTTCCCAGACTGTGATGGTAGGCAATACCAAGCCTACTCTAATGTTCAATAACATCCCAGCTATTCTTTGTCATATTTCTCAGTGAAGAATATACTACGTACCTGGATGTCGACTTTATTTATTTTTAAGACAATTAGAAAGTGACACCAATTAAATAGTGGCTTCAAGGTATAGTCTTCTTTATTTGTATGTTGGCATGGAATATACCCCACTTTTCTCCAAATGAAACAGAGCTTTCTGTTTTGAATCACTGTCCATAAGGAAATGCTAATGATTTCAAAAGAGAAAGGGAGGCAGGCAATCTGGCTAACTCCACTGACCCATTAAAGACCTTATCAACACCAAGAATAAGACTTTTTTGGACACCATATATAGCTTAAGTTGAGGCTACATAATATATCCTCTCATTTGAGCTTCACAAGAGCCCAGGAAGGTTAAGTACTGAAGGTATTATTCCCATTTTATGGATGAGGAAGCTGAGGTTCAGGAAGGGGGAGTGACTTCTCCATAGTTACACAACTAATGTCAGAGGCAAGATGTGAATCCAGGACTTCATAGGTTCCAAAACCCAGCTCGGCTTTCCTCTAAGTCACATGTTGTTAATGCTTGTGTGGAGTCAGTGGTATCATTTTCACATGTGAATGGGACAGCACCATTAAGTGGTTGGCAATGCCATCTGGGCTAACATACTGTCTGTATTCAGTAGTAAATTCAGTTACAGCCCAGCAGCGTGTAAGGAACGAGGAAGAGCCTTGTAAGTGAGGAGGCAAATCACTTCCCCTCTCTATGACTCAGTTTTCTCATTTGTAAAATAGGGAGAAGAAAAGCATTTTGCAAGTTTTGTTTTCACCACAACCCTGTGAGGTAGGTAGGTAGGTAGTACAAAAGTTGAATAATGCACAGAGAGCACATTACTGACACAGCAGTTTGCTAGCCAGAGGAGCATTCATTAACAATCATTCTACTGAGCTATTTTTCCTTATATGAAGATGATACACACAAGCAGAAGCAATATGTGCTTTGAGGCTGCCTGGCTAGCTCAGTACAAATCTCTCCTCTGAGGTACCCCCATGGAATGCATGCTGACTTAGTAAGATTAAGTAAGATGGTTGCTCCAAGATAAGATGTGTCTGCAGCCACTCGACAGAGAAGCTAGCTAGTCTACAAATGGTTCACAGGATTCTAGACCTAGAGCCAGAAAGGTCCTTGGAAGGCACCTAGTCCAAGCTCTTCACTTTACAGATGGGCAAACTGAGGCCCAGGGAGAGGAAGTAACTTAGCAAGATCACCCAGGCTTGTTGTAGAGCTGAGATCTGAACTGAAGCCCAGAAACTCAGTGCTGGTTCCAATGAACTATACTACCTCTCTATTACACCCTCCTCTAACCAAGTCACATGCTGCTTTCTATTGCTACTGTTCTAAGAGTTATCAGCCTCCTGGACACACAGGATTCTGTTAACCACATTTGCTTGAGATCATTCCAACCACGCATGGGCTTTGGGCAAGCCTTTAGCTGAGTACCTCAAAGCTCAGACATGCAATGACCAGGCAAGCATAAAGGTCCACATAGACAGGTCTCAGTGGGGAATTTAAAGCCTTGCATAGGCAGACTCCAACCTACCTGCCTTCCGGACTCACTCCATATCATTCCCCTTCACAAACTAGACAACTGGTCTAGTTGCTGTTCCCTGACCTGTCCATACCTTTGTCAGGGGTTCCTTTAGCACTCAGGACATAATTCTCATCTCAAATCCTTGGCTTCCTTCAAGACTCAGCTCAGGGGCCCCCCTGCAAAGGTTCCCAGCTCACTATCTGTGTGAATACTGCAGCTCCCAGATGCAGGGGCTTAGTTCCTGATGGGCAGACTGGTTGGGCGTTTTTGGGTTTTGTCTTGCATCCCCCTAGTGCCTGCCTCCTATAAATGTACTGTAAGTGCTTAAGAAATGCTAGTGGAATGAATGAATTCTAGCCTTAAATGGGGAATGACAGAGAAAGAGACCGCACCCATGGTAAGAAACGGTGAGCAGCTGGAGTCACTGGTAGCAAACCCCCAAATCTCAGCAAGGATCAACAAAGCTGGAACTTGATTATTTCAAGTTCTGTGCTCACTCTCCACACTGCAAGTAAGGAATCCTTGTGTATGCAAATTCCCATTATCTGAAGTTATAACTATGCAAAATAGGTTAACTGGTTCTAGGCCAATGGAAATGTGCCTTGTGAATCTGAATAATGCTATCACCACTTTAAGGGATTTGCATCAATTGGAACCTGCCTATAAAGGTTGGCAGCCTGTGGTAAAACTGATAGAGACAGAGATTCAGAGGGCTATTTGTAAGCGTATTTTGCTAGTTTCCAAATTCTGCCTCTGATGGTGTGTGGCTGCGGGCAAGTCCCTTTTCCTCCCTGGGCCTCAAGTTTCCCCCTCTGTAAAATGAGAGGGCTGAACTCAGTGGCCTCTGAGGGCCCTTCCTGCTCTAGGATCTTACTGGCACTTAAATGTTTTTCACGGTAATCTAAAACAGAGGAAAGGGCGATTGGTAAACAGAGACAGGACAGGAACAAATGGGGGAAGGGGTGCCCAAATGAACTTGAGCTCTCTTCATGTTTACTTTAATGGAAAGGTGGGAGAGAAACCAATTGCTGAAAATATGAATGGCTTTGAAGGAATCCTGAATTAACTTTGTAATCACCTGGGTTTTGTAGTGCCTGGTTCTATTTCTCCATTAATAATGTAAGTAACACTTCCGAATGTATTATTAATGAGTAATCCAGGGAGGAAATGAAGTGCTCTTAATCTGTGGAGCTTTCAGTCTCTGCTAAATTCTATTCAATTCCTTAGGTTCTTAGCTTTAAAACAATAACACAACATATTTCTTCCTTGCTCAGTATTTTAATCCTAAGAATCAAAAAATGTTCTGTGAATCATAATAACCAGGTTTGGGGAAATAAGCCTGCCCATCCCCGCACTGACAGTATAATAACCATGTTCTTGGTAATATTAACAGCTGTTGATGCTGATCTGAAAATCAAATCCCTAGCCTATCATAAGAAAGGTATATATGGAGTCCTGAGTTAGGGAGGGAACAAGGATTTATTAGGTACTTACTATGTGCCTTAAACCGTGCTAAACACTTTACAAATATTATCTCATTTAATACACATGACCACCTAGGGAGATAGATGCTACTATAGTCCTCATTATTCAGTTGAGGAAACTGAGGCAGAGGTAAAGTGACTTGCCCAAAATCACAAAGCTAATAAATGTCTGAGGTTGGATTTGAACTCTAGTCTTCTTGACTCCAGGCCTAGCACTCTATCCACTCACCGTACTATCTAGCCATGGCTGGTGGCTACAACAGCTCTCTTCTTACTGGGATCCCTTCCTGAAGGAATTCCTGGCTTCCCAAACAGCAACAGGCCAGTGAAGGGGAAGATGTCTGAATAAAAGTCATATGCCATACTATTCTCACTTTGTTTTTTGCATGCTTTTTCCCCTTTTATTCTATTTCTTTTTTTACAACATGACTAATGTGAAAATATGTTTTACGTGATTGTACATGCATAACCTATATCAGATTGTTTGCCATCTTGGGGAGGAGGGAGGGACAAAAATTTGGAAAATGCAAAATCCTTTAAAAAAAAAAAGAATGGTGAAAATTGTCTTTACAAGGAATTGGGAAAAATACTATTAAGTAAAATAATAAAGTCACGTGCCATGTATGCAATGCCTCTCCAAGGAAAAGATACTCAGTGACAATTTAGGGAGAGGAAAGATCTAGGTGACACAGGGGATAGAGTGAGCACTGGATTTGGAACTGTGATCTGATCTCAGACACTGACTAGCTATGTGATACTGGGCAAGTCACTTCTCTCTGGGCTTCAGTTTCCTCAGCTGTAAAATGAGGAATTGGACTAAATGACCTTCAAGGTCCCTTCTAGCACTAGGATACCATAATCACAAGTTATCATGTAGACCCCACCCACCCACCCATGACATCCGCACTTGGGTCCATTCAGAGATGGCCACAGGGTGCGCAGAATACTAATCCTACCTTTTAGCTCCACCAGCATCAGGGGATACAATACAACAGGTCTTCCAGTCGGCAATGTTCTCTCTTATCCACTTCAGGACAGCTGGCTCAGCATATAAGTTATCCACTGGGATATCAAAAAACCCCTGTGGGAAGGAACTCTGTTAATCTCTTGGCTTCCCCCCCAACCCAGGCTCCCAGCACTGTAAATATTGTAAATAAGAGCTCCTGCTTCTGAAGCGTCTTCTCCAAAACAACCCTGTGAGGCAGGCAGGGTTATTACCCCAAGCTTCCATCTGGAGAGACAGAGGCCCACGTGTAGCAAGACTGTTCACCTAGTAGGTATTGTGGCCAAGATTCAAACCAAGTTCCTGGGAACACAATCTCCACGTTATTTTCATTTAGTTAAGACATTTGGTCTCCTGTTCTTCCAAAGTATCCTGCGTTTGCTTCTCCTGGTTGTCTCTTCCCAGAGTATTCATTAACAACCCCCGCAGCCCTCAACTCCCATGGTTTGTTTCTCTTTTATACCTGAATCTGAGAAGCATGAAGGTCCATGGTGATTATATGATCTGCTCCTGCTACAGACAGCATATTTGCCACAAGCTTAGCTGAGATTGGGGCTCGGCTCTAAATGGGAGAGAGTAAGGGTCACTGACAAATAGTTCAAAGTTATGAAGCTGACAAAGTGGGCTCACTTCCTATCTCAGTAACAAAGTTTTCCAGTCTCTCGACCTGTTTATCAAAGGTAAAAATGTCTGATGTGTGGCTACCAACCTACATTTAATTTTTTTTTTTAAAAAGACCACCTGGTCTTAAAAATTTTTCAATCAACATTGCAAAATAAAAGCAGCCCCATCCACCCCCGCTCCAAAAATGTCCCCAAACTACAATACAGCAAAGTTTAAGAGATACTGGATATAATCATGAAGCTTACAGAAACAAAGGATCGAATGAAGACCTCCTAGTCCAATGCCTCTGGAAGAGCTTATCATGTAGATGCTCCCTTCACTACCAAGATGCAGACCAAGGCCCATGCATTCTGTGCCAGCCCATCCTATGGGGCTTTCCAGAGAGCCTTCTTTGCATTCTCTTGGTATTGTGTGAATACCAATGGAGCAGGCAGGCTGTCTGTTGGGTATCTTTCATTCTTGCTATGTGACCAACCCATCATTTTTTAGATGACATCCTTTATCCTGCTTTTTCTGTGTAATTACTCATTTTTAATGTGTTACAAAGAAAAGAAGGCATAGCAAGAGATCTGACTAAGTCAGTTATCTCAAGGGCATTTAAGGATGAAAATGAAGGGATGCACACCCCTGCCAAAAGAAAAATCCCAGAAGGCAAATGGAAAAGATCTATATATAAAGATTACTATAAACAACTCTTTTCCCCATCAACGGCAGTGGAACCACCATACTCGGACCTTATGGCAGGGTTCCCAATGTGCTTAAAGAGGAGAGAGAAATAGCACTGAAGAGAAAGAACAAAGACAGGGAAAGCAGCCAAAATGGACCAAATGTATACCCCTTCTAAGGGACATACAATTGAGGTTGTTGAGGGATTGATAAGGATGTGAAGGATGGAAAGACAGTAAAGTTAAAAAAATTCAAACTTATTAATAGGCAAACAAAACAAAACAAAGATCATTGAGAAAGCAACTATGGAGCTCGATGCCTTCTCTCCCCACCTATATAAGATCTTTGACAATCATCAATGTACATATTGAAGGAATCCTTAGTGAGAATCAGTAGGGAAAAAACAGGCTTTCATAAGTAATATTCAACAATGGACTATATCTTTACCATTTTGCAACTGACTCAGAGATGTAGAGGACTTAAGATCCTGTGGTACTTACTGTTTATAGACTTTTTAAAACTTGGTACAGCAAAATGTCACCTTAAAGCCTCTTTTTCCAAAAAGGCATCTCCCATCCACATATCAAAAACATTCAAGATTCCTTGAAAGATATGCTAGAAATAATCCTATTATTCAATGACCACTGTGATAGAGACCAGGAGGATAGAGTCCAAGTGGAAGAGAATGGATTCTCCGTGGTCTTTCGCGCATTCCTGTTTGCAGATGACATTTGTGCTGCCAGCCCTGGAATACTTCAGTCTCTGTCAGCAGTCAAAAGTTCAGCCTGACCATCCATGCAGGAAAGACCAAGTGGATGAGGAATATCTACTACCCAGAGTTAACACATGCATTTGGATGAAAAACCTATAGAGCTTGTCTATCAATGTGTAGACCTGGACCTAGGAGTTGGGCCCAGGGTTGAAGAGGAGGGAAGTGGACTTGACTGACTTCGGAATATTACAAAGCTTTTGTTTTGCTTTGTTTTTGGCTAGGCAATGGGGTTAAGTGACTTGCCCAGGGTCATACAGCTAGTAAGTCTTATGTGTCTGAGGCTGAATTTGAATTCAGGTCCTCCTGAATCCAGGGCCGGTGCCACCTAGCTGCCCCACAAAGCTCTTTTAATGATCCTTAAGTTTCCTATGGAAGCAAAGTCCCGCGACTTCTTTATTTGCCTCTCCAATGAGAGCCTGTGAGCCTGCCTTCCACTTAGTTTTGACTTTTTTGTCACCTCTTTCCACTTATGGGACAGATGCAAATAGGTAGTTTCTCTAGTAGTATATATACCCAATGGTCACCGTACAAAAAGCTTACAAAGAGAGCTGATGGTCTAAAAAAGTTCAGAGATTCTTCGGTCTCTCTTGCCCAGTTTCTGCCAACATCACTATAGAAGCACAGGGGGCTAAGCTGGCTAGACTGGTGCCACTTTGTCTTTTTTTGCTTTTTTCCAGGTTGCTATGGTCAATTCACCACCAGGTGGCCAGTCTGCTGGCAATAAGGCTTTTTAGCATTTCTGCATTTAGCTAGGCTGGTTCTAGAATCTGCCAGAATTTCTTCTTTGCTAGCATTACCCTCAAGAACCCACCTGGATGACACATGGGAGAAACAGGATAGCAAACATCACTTCCAAATTCTCCTCCTTGTTTTTCTACTCTCATAAACAGTATTATCCTGCCCTAAGAGGTTTCTGACCCTGATATCTTATCACCTTGGATGCTGTCTAAGAATGTTAAGACCTAGCAGGTCCTATCAAGCTGGAGAGCTTCCAGGAAAGACCTAGTGAGGCCCACTGGTCAAAGATCAGCCTAGCCAAGTTCAGATAGTACCACTACTAGTTAGCTGCAGTTTAAGCTAAAGTACCACTCAAGACCACCTACTAGTTTTACAGAGAAGCTCCAATTTGAATTGGGGGGGGGGGACGGGACGACACACACGGACACAGGGATTAGGGCTAGCCAACTCCTAGCCCCCATGAAATATATTATAAAACCTTGAAACTTAAAAGTGATCAATGTAGGGGCAGCTAGGTGGCACAGTGGATAGAGTACCGGTCCTAAAGTCAGGAGGACCAGAGTTCAAATCTGGCCTCAGACCAAACACTTGACACTTAGTAGCTGTGTGACCCTGGGCAAGTCATTTAACCCCCAATTGCCTTAAAAAAAAAAGTGATCAATGTATATATCAGTGTTCACTCAGTGCCTTTTTCATATAAATATTTTCAACACCTCTATGCAGTCCAAGGCTTTGTGGTTACATCACACTTGCACAGCATAATTTGCTTATTTCCTCCAACTTTAGACATTTGGGCTGTTTGCATTTTCTTTTTCTTTTCTTTCTTTTTTTGCTATTATAAAAACAGAACTGCTATAAACATCTTGAAACAAATCATTTTGTTTTTCCTTTTGGGTTGATTTCCTTGGGGTACATTACCCAAAATGCAATTCCTGGGTCAAATGGTAAGAATGTCCGATAGCTCATTTCATACTACTCTCCCAAAAGACTCACCTCATGAACATCTAGTGGCACCAGCAATGTGCATAGCTATAAAGTACCCATTTTTCCAGAGCCTTGCCAACAAAAGATTTTCTAGCTTACTTTTGTTAGTTTAACATATGCGTAATGATACCTTGAGTTTCTCTCCATTTTCATTTCCTTAATTGCTAACAAGGCTATATACATATATGGAGGCCATCCTTTGTTTTTAAATACCAGCTATCTCCAGCCATATAGTTCCCCACCCCCACAAGTATCAGGCTCCTAACAAAGACAGCTAGTGTGTCTTGGGGGACAGGGCAGAAGGCTCAGGTCATACCTGTGACACATCAGTGCTGGGGTGACCTCGCTAAGTCACTTAACATCTCCTGACCCAGGGATTTCTCTAAGACTCAGCATCTGGGCCTCCAGAGACTAATCTCTCCACCCCTACCCCCAATCTACTCAGTTTTGGGACTCTGCCCTGGGCCTGAGCTGTCTGGATTAGAAGGACAATTCACCCCAACCCACTGAATCGAGCCGGCCCAGCATGCATCACATCGCTCACTGGATGCTTCCATCCAATAACTCTTGGGCCCTTTGTAGCCAAAGTCCTCCAAAAGGCCAAGGCCATCTAAAAGAGGTGCCTTCACTTTCTCTCCCCCCCGCCCCCACTCACTTCTTAACATATTACAATCTGGCTTCTGACTTCTATCGCCACTGAAACTGCTCCCTCCAAAGTCACCAATGAGCTCTTAGTTGCCAAATCCAGTGGGCTTTTCTCAATCCTCATTCTCCTTGAGTTCACTGCAGCCTTTGGCACCGTGCATCGGATCACTCTTCCTTGATTCTTTTTCTCCCTAGGTTTTCAGGGCCCCACTCACTCCTGCTTCTCCTTCCTACCTGTCTGACTGCTCCTTCTGTCTCCTTTGCTAGATTCTCTTCCAGGTCACACCCTCTAACCACAGATGTCCCTCAGGGTTCAGTCCTGGGCCCTCTTCTCTTCTCCCTCTAGACTACTTCACTTGATGATCCCATCAGCTCCCATGAATTTAATGACCATCTCTACACTGATGATTCTCAAATCTACCTATCCTGCCCCAAACTCTCTACTGACCTCCAGTCACCCATCTCCAGCTGGATGTCCAATAGACATCTTAAACTCAACATGCCCCCAAAAGATCTTGTTTTCTTTTCCCTTAAAGGTTCTCTTTCTCTTACTGAACCATCCTCTCAGTCCCTCAGACTTGCAACCTAGGTGTTATCCTTGATTCCTCTTCTCACTCCCCACATCCAATCTGTTGCCAAGACCTGTTAACTTATCCTTTGTGACATCTCTTACATAGGCCTCCCTTTCTCCTCTGATGTTGTTACCACTGTATCGAAGACTCTTATCACAGGAAGGGAGGAAGGTGGAAGGGGAGAAAAGAACTGAACTGTTCCAATAGCCTGCTGATGGGTGGGCCTGCCTCAAGTTTCTCCCCACTCTAATCCTCCTCCATTTAGCCACCAATGTGATTTTTCTAAAGCACAAATTTGATCATGTCACACCCCTCCCCCAATTAAACTAGTGGCTCCCTATGACCTCCAGAAGCAAATACAAAATCCTCTGTTTGGCATTCAAAGTCATTCATAATCTAACCCCCTCTTACCTTTCCAGTCTTTTTACACCTTGGTCCCCACCAAGTACTCTTGGATCTGGTGACACTGGCCTCCTGGCTGTTCCGTGAACAAGATTACACTCTCAGTGGTTCCTGGCTAAACTATGGCCATAGCCAGCTGTTTGGTCTCTGCCTCAAGTCTCTTCCCACTTCAATCCATCCTCCAATTCAGTTATCCAAGTGAACTTCCTAAAGCACAGGTCTGACTATGCGCCCGTCCCCCGTCCCCCCCATCAACTCCAGTGGTTCCAAATATAAAATCTACTGGCTTTTAAATCCTTTCATAACCTGGCCTCTCACTACCTTTGCAGTCTCCTCACATATTAATCCCCTCCATACTCTACAATCTAGTGGCACTGTGCCTCCTCCTTACTCCCCACTCCATTCTCCTGACTTTGTGCTTTTTTGCTGGCTGTCCCCTAAGGCCTGGAATTCTCTCTTCCTCCTCTGACTTTCTTCAAGTCTCAGCTAAAGGCTCATATTCTGCAAGAAGCCATTTCCAGTCTTCCTGAGATTATCTCCCATCAATCCCACATATAGTTTGTTTGTAAGGAATTATTTGCATGCTGTCTCCCACATTAGACTGTGAGTTCCTTTGAGAGCAGGGATTGTTCTGTGCCTGTCTTCGTATCTCCAGTGTTTAGTACAGGGCCTGGCACATTGTTGGCAGTCAGGTGCAACCCTGTGGACCATACTGTCCATGGGGTTTTCTTGGCAAAGATACTGGAGTGGTTACTATTTTCTTCTCCAGTGGATTAAGTCAAACCGAGGTTAAATGAATTGCCCAGGGTCACACAGCTAGTAAGCGTCTGTGGCTAGATTTGAACTCAGGTCCTCCTGACTCCAGGACTGGCACTCTATCCACCGAGCCACCTAGTACATATTATTGTTCAGTTGTATCCAATTCCTTGTGACCTCATTTGAGGTTTTCTTGGCAGAGATACTGGAGTGGTTTGCCATGTCCTTCTCCAGCTCATTTTACAGATGAGGAACTGAGGCAAACAGAGTTAAGGGACTTGCCCAGGGTCACATAGCTAGGAAATGTCTGAGGCCAGGATTTCAATTCAGGAAGATGGGTCTTCCTGATTCTTAGCCCAGTACTCTATTCACTGGGCCACCTCGCTTAATAAATGCTTGTTGATAAGTTATAGAATAGTCAATGATCTGGACTGATAAAGGGAATTTCCTCACTAGCAGTTACCAAGAAATTACAGATCCAGACCCTCTGAGGAGCAGATACAGTTTATCTCCCTCCAATGACTTCTCTAAATGTCTGCTTCAATTAATTCTGGTAAACAAAATAGACAAAGCATTTATAATGTAGCTGAGAAATTAGTATGAAAAATAACCACTACTTAAAAATATATAAACATTCTAAACATGAAATCTATATTCATTGCTAAGCTATGGAGAATGTATATTAAAGGTTATATAATTTTATATGAAATCATAAATTTGTGAATCACTTTGGGACAACTGATTAAATCGAAACTTTTTGACTAGTGATTTACAAGCTGATGAAACCAACATGACTCAGATTTAAATGATCTGTATGTGTCTTGGACCTCAAATTCTATTAGTATAGGAAATTGCCAGCCTGGGAGCTTCTTCTATCACTACAGAAGGTGGCCTGGGGCACTGAAAAGTTAAATGACTTGCCAAGGGTCATAAACCAGGATAAGTTAGAAGGGGGACTTGAACCTATGTCTTCCCCTTCAAGGCTAGCTCTCTACCCATTCTACCTTAATCTAAAATGGAAGGTCACTAGGGACAAAGCTAAACTTCTGAAGTAATGTTTTAAAAATAAAAGAAAATACCACATTGGAGTCTGCTCCTACTTTGTCCTTTTTGTCCTGCCGGGCATAAGGGAAGCAAGGGATAACAGCAGTGACTCGGCTTGCTGAGGCGATCTTGCAGGCATTGATCATGATGAGAAGCTCCATCAGATTGTCATTGATTTCACCACAACCGCTCTGTACAATGTAGACATCCTCTCCTCGGACGCTTTCACCAATTTCCACGCTACAGACGGGAGGGGAGAATTAGATTAACAATATTATTTCTATATTCCACTGAGAATTTCAAAGCACCTTAGGCATGCTGCACTACGCTTAGGATCCTCCATCAACTCATCACCACAGATGGATCGATCAATTCTGTCTGTCAATTCTATCTATCTATAGCTAGCTCAAGCACTGGCAGGTAAATGACTAAAATTCAGTTGTTGGCACCTATTTTTAAGTTTCATGTAGAAATATCTGACATAAATGTGGTTCGACATATACACTGGCTATGGATGGTCCTCACTGTACTTATATCTCAAGAGACATGGACATGTAAATACAAAAGCAGACAGTCCCTACTCTCAAGGAAATCATTGCACATGGATCTGCCACTGTGGCTTCGAAAGAAGGTCACAGGTCAGTTTTGTCTATGGCCACCAGTGTCAGTTTCCACAACTGGCACAGTGGAAAGAACATCTGGAATCCCAAGACCAAGATTTGAATCCTGACTCTACCGCTTAATATCTGGGTGACTCCAAGCAAATCAGTTCCCTTCTCTAGGCCTCCAAGTCCCCTCATCTCTTAAATGAAGGGGCTGAACTAGATCTCATATTCATTCCCAACTATTTTCAGTAAACCTTCACATTCAAAAGGAAATACATTTTTGCATTTAGTTTGTATACATACACAATAAAAGTGATGAATTTTTCTCCCCCAAGAGTTCACGAAAACTTTTTCACAACTTCATTTGGAGTTTCTACAATATTTCAAAAGGATAATATACTAAAAAGAGCCCTCTTGACAAGCTTCTTGTATACCCCCAGTTGGGAACTCCTGATCTAGATAAATTCCAAAGTTTCTTCCAGGCCCAAATGCCCCGTACCCTACTCAAATTTGTAAAGCCTACACTAAGTACCCAGTGATCCTTAAGGATACATTTCCATTTCAATAAATGGAAAATAGGAGGGCCTAGCCAGGCTATTTTGCTTAGGCAAAGTGAATTCCCAATTACAGTGGCAGCATTCAACTCCGTAACCCTTCAGGAGGGTCCTAGAGGGCCCATCTCTACAGTAACCAAGAACATGTACATTTGCCTCTGGCAAAAAAAAATTTGCTTACAATACTGGTAATAGTAAAAACCAATCACCTCAAAGGTACTACAATAAATTGGGTTTTTTTTTTGGGGGGGAGGGAAAGATATATGGGGTAGTCTATTAAACTTGACAGGCACTATTATTCAGCAACACGAATAATTCCTTCTCTTTATATCAAAATGGTAATACACTTTAAAATAAAAACACCTCATACTGGGTTTATCTCTAGTTACTACCTTTAGCACGGGCTTTGATTTCCTATTACACTATAATGGTCAGGATCATTACCCCCACCCACTCCTAGCCATCAACTAGGCTCCGGGAAAACATTAATGGCCAAAAGTAGATGAGACTTCTCTTGTTTTTCTTTCTTACAAACCAGAAGCAGTTTGACGACAGCCAGAGAATCTCCCACAGCTACCTAGCATGGGGTACGCACATGAGGTACTTAAAAAAAAAATCTATGTCCACAAGGCATATGGACATAGCATTCTAGTAGCTGTGAGACTGTCAACTGTCCTTTTCCCCCAATTGTGTGGCTCAAGACTACATTTTTAGGCTTAGGCAAATCGGTTCAGAGACAAACACCCTCCACAGGACAGCCTGAAAGATAGCCATTAAACCTAACTGAAAATTTCCCTAAAACGATGTAATCTACAGCTGATACGGGCATATGCAAATGTACCGATAACTAATTCCTTCAACTGGGCTATAGTTAGTTACTTGGGAATTTCTAGGAAATCACTGTCTCCTCTACCAACCCAGCACAAAAAGGCCGAGTGTGGACTACATAAACTAAAATGGTCTGAACTACACTCAACCTATGTCCCATAAATTCTGCTTTTGTCGGGCATGTAAATACTCCATTTGATCAATAAGGGGATCTCACCCAGGCTTCAGCCCAGCCTACCACAAAGGACTAAACAATCTTGACGCAGAGACAGTAAAAGTACCATAAACAAAATCTGATTAAGTCCCTGATACCAGCATTCTTCATAAGGACCTAATGTGCTATTCACTGATGTACACTAGAATAGGCTGAGTGTGTTCCCCAAATAAAGCCTGAGGACTGAATGACAGGACCACGGGAGGAGGCTACTGGAAGCAGCGGATTGTCCAGTGGATAGAATGCTAGGCCTGGAGTCAGGAAGAACGAGTTCAAACCCAAACTCAAGCGTTAACTGTGTGAACCCTGGCCAGTCCTTCACCTCTGTTTGCCTTAGTTTCTTCAACTGTAAAATGAGGATAATAATAGCACCTAGCTCACAGGGTTGTGATGACAAAATGGGATATTTGTGAAGTGCTCAGCACAGTGCAGGGCTAGAGAAATACTGATGCCCTTCCCTTCCCAAGGTTTGCGTTAGCATTTGGCCACACAGTAAAGATGCATCCAGAAGGAAGCAGCTCCTGAAAAATAAATGTTAGCATTCCTAGAGGGTCAAAAGAATACTGATGAGTCAAGGTGGATATCAACCCCAAACTCCAAATCCTTTTAAAGGCCCGGTTATTGCTAACTGGCTGTTGAACTCCCATTACCAGCTGAGTATCTTGCTCAAAGGGACACATACCATGTGTGTATGTATGCATATACACACATGTAGTATGTATATATGTAGACACACAGAGACAGAGTGACCTAGTATTTATCCGTACTCCTATTCCAATCTACTAGGGCTTAAGAGAATGAGAATTTTTTTTTTGGGTGGGGGTGGAAGGGGACAGGACAGAGACGTTCAAAAAAGATTATATAAACCTATCCTGTTCCCTATCCTGTTCTACGTGGCAGTTTTATAGGGACAGGTTTTTATTTGAAAGGCAACTGAAAAAAAAAAAACCCAGTAAAAGCCAAGCAGATGTGTCAACTCATCTCCTGTAGGCTTAACAGCAGGACTACCCCTGGGGTAGTGTTGGGGGGCCTAAGGAAGAAGGAATTAGGAACTTTTCTGGTTTTGTTTTGGTTTTTTTGGGGGGGCAAAGGGGGTTAAGTAACTTGCCCAGGGTCACAAGCTAGTTAAGTGTTATGTGCCTGAGGCTGGATTTGAACTCAGGTCCTCCTGACTCCAGGGCCAGTGCTCTATCCACCTCGCCCCCTAGCTCCCCCAAACTTTTCTACTAAAAGACAGATAATCCTCCATCTTGAGCTGGACTTCAGAAGCCAGTTAGAACAAAACCTCTCATTTTACAGTGAGGGAAATGAGGCCCCCAGGAGGTGGGATGACTTTCCCAAGGTCATACAGGTCAAGTCTCCCGACTAGGCTGTGTGACCTAAATCAAAGGCCTTCCTTTACCCCTCTGTGCCCCAGAGCACTGACAGAGGGAGTCTTATTGAGTACTTCTGGCATAGAGGAAATCACAGGTCTGGGAGAAGAAGGGAAGAAGGAGAGAAAGAGGAAAGAAAAAGAAAATACCTAATGTATATATTTAGGGGAGGAAAAAAAATCCAAGGCAAGGTTTACTAAAATCTGGGCAAAGGCTTGATACCCAAGAAGTGAGAAAATACCCTCTTCCCCCCATCCCCTCCCTCTCTGCCCCACCCCACTACCCCATAGCTATTCAGAATACAGCCTGCAGTCAGCTGAGGCTGACCTGTAGGTTTAGCTTTATTGAACTGCCCCTCCCCCCACCCACCGCCCCCTTTTAATCTTTATTAAAGGAGCTAGCTCAGAGGGAGGGAGAGGGACATGTATAAAAATCAAGGTGATGTAAAAAACCAAAGAATTCATTTTTCGGATGGGTGACTTTGGACCTTGCTGACCTTGCCAGCCCAGCAGTAAGGAGAACTGCCAGCATGGTTTATCGGAACACAGGGACCAAGTTTATAGCCCTAGCTTAGCACAAAGACTTAACCTTTTACTTCTGTCTGGCAAAGCCCATGGACCCCCTGCACAGAATGTTTTGAATGCATAAAGTAAAATACATACTATTACCAAGGAAACCAATTATACTGAAATACAGTGAACAATTTTTTTTAAACCAACTCCAGGTTATTAAAAAAAAAAAAGAAGAAGATTCTCAGGTTAAAACTCCCTAGGCTCCATAAAGAATCACAGACTCATTGGGCTAGAAGTAGATGAGAGCCTTGAGTTCAAATCTGGCCTCAAATACTTCTCAGCTTACTATATTACTAGCTTACACAGTATTAAGCACTGTGCTAGGTGCTTTACGAATAAACACTTCATTTGATTCTCAACAACCTTGGCAGGGAGGCATCATTATTAGCTCCATTTTACTGATGGGGAAGCTGAGGCAGAGCTGAAAAGTTAAGTGACTTGCCCAAGGCACCCCACGAAGCTTTTCTGAAGTTAGAGGCCAGAGATGGGCTACCCACTGTGCCACATCTCAATGCTTTGGAAAGGAGGCCCAGAAAGCTTGGGTGACTTGCCCAAGGGTGTTCAGGCAGAAGTGAACTGAATTGGGATTTGAACTCAGGTCCTTTGACTCCAAATCCAACCCTCTTCCCACTTCACCAAAAGCTAAGGCAGGGAAACCTGAAGTTTAGGCTGAGCCTTTTATAACCACAATAAACCAGATATTCTCCCATTCAGTGAAAGTCCTCAGCAATGCCCCCTAACTTGCTCATTCTGCTCAATCCTATTCAAATGTTAAGCTGTTTCTACACAGAGAACAGCAGAACCCAAGTGGGAAGCATTGTGGCATGGGGGAAGGAATGCTCAATTTGGAAAAACCAGAGCACCTAGCCTGAAATCCTGCTCCTCCACATCCCAACCAAGTGTGACCCTAGACAAGTCAAAGTCACTGCTTCCTTATCTGAAAATGAAGGCTTTTTAACCTTTTTGGTGGGTCCTGAACACTTGGGTGTGGACCCCTTCTGAGAATCACGTTTTCAAACAATGAAAGGAAATGTTAAATTTCAGTTAGCATTTAGTGAAAATAAAGATGCCATTGTTTTCTCATTAAAGTTCCCCAAACCCCTGAAATCTATCCATGTACCTCAGATCAAGAATCCCTGGACTAAATGGTCTAAGGTGCCCTTCCAACTGAAAATCTATAAACTTAAAATTCCAACTTATCTTCTGTCTCTCACAATACAATGGTCGCTCCCTGAGGGCAAGGACTGTTTCATTTTTTGTCTTGTATCCCCTGCCTCTAGCCCAGTGATTAAAAGTTTATTGACTGATCGCTTCCATGAGACAGGTGCAAAGGACAGGAGTGCTGGTTCATTAACAATAATTAATAGACATTTCTACAGGGTACTCTAAGGTTTGCAAAGCCTTTCCCAAGTATCATCTCATTTAGTTTACACAACGATCCTATGAAGTGGCGCTATTGTTATCCCCATTTTCCAGATCAGGAAGCCATAAACAGTGTGGAGTGAGTCAGGAAAATCTAGATTCAAACCAGGCCTCTAACATCTACTGGCTCCTACATCTAGAGCTGGATGAGACCTCAGAAACTATCTAGCCCAATTCCTACATTTCACAGTTAAGGAAACTGAGGCCCAAACACGGGGGTGGAGGCGGGGATTTGAACCCAGGTCCTTTCCACTCCAAAACCACTGTGTTCTTTCTGTAGCACCACGACGCTTCCCAGTGTGACTCTGGGCAAGGTTCTTAGTGCGCCGACGAAAACTCTCCCAAAACCACTCCCTAAGCCAACCTGCACAGGGAGAGGGATACACGTCTCTGTCTTACAGGTGAGGAGACTGAGGCACCGGGAGAAACGGATAAGTGACTTGCCCACGGTCACACAGCTACCTAGGAGCTGGGATTTGAACCCAGGTTCCCCCCCCCGTCCAGAGCTCTAACCACTAGACCACACGGCACAGTAGGCACTATTCGCGACTGCTTCAAGCCAAAGGCCCGGTGCACGGTACCAAGCCCAAGGCTAGCGGACGATATTGGCCTTGGCCTTGATCAAGGGGGCTGGGGCCACACCGCCCCCACCCGGGGTGGAGGGGGAGGCGAGTGCAAGTCTTAGCCCGTTTTTCCACTGGCCCGCTAGCCCGCCCTCCCGAGTCGCGAACCGCCATCCCAGCCACGAGGTGGTGATTGCTAGTACCGCCCTTTCTGCCCCCCTCTCCGCGCCCCCATTGCCTCTCGGCAGCCCCCCAGAACCACGACGCGCCCCCAACTCCAGCCTCTGTCCCAGCGCAACGGCCGACCGGTAGCCCAATCGCCAGCGCATGCGCGCGCGTCAGACCGGCCGGCCCCAGGCCAACGGCCCTGACCCACGACCCGGCCCTGGCCCCGGCCCGGTTCCAGCTCCAGCCCCAATTCCGGCCCCAGCCCCGGCCCCGGCCGCTTACCAGGTCTCCTGGTTACTGAATTTCTTAGTCACCACCTTGCCCAGTTCCAGGCCCAGACGGTCGGTGATCTTCTGGGACAGGTCCTGGTGGGAGCTGCCGCTGAAAATCTTGATGTTCGGCATCTTCAACCGGCGGTCCTCGGCGGACAGGTCTCGGCGACCGCTGCGAGTGGGACAGGGACTTGGAAAATGAGGCCTGAGGCCGGTAAGGCGAGGCTGGGGAGAGGTGACTCGGCAGCAAGAGCGTACTCAGCACGACGCCTCGGCCATCTTGCCTTCCCGCCAGGCGCGCGCGTTCTTATATTGTATACCGGCTCGGGGGGGCGGAGCCCTAGGTGCGGGTTCGGCCTCCGCCTCTGCCTATTGGTCATCTGGTAGCGAGAGGCGGTGCCCTCTCTGTGGCCCCACCCCTTCTCGGGGCACTTTACCACCGATTGGCTGAAGAGCAGGGAGGGGGTGGGGAAGGCCAGACGCCGGCTCTCAGGCGGCAGAGTGAGGCGAGGGCGAAGTTGGCAGGTGAATCTGTGGGATGGAGGGGTGGGGAGGGCTGATGCGGCAATCTAGCGGATCACTTGGGCCAATCCCTCTCTGCGTGCCCTGGGGGCTCCTTCTTCAGCCCCAGACGTAGAACCTGGCCCACACGCCTGGTTTCTGTCAACAGTGAACCCCAAATTGAGGCATCGAAGCAGAAGCCACCTGTTTCTGCAGATCCCGGGGGAGTCGGGGGGGAAAAACATTTTGGAAAAGACCGATTAATGTAGCCCTTGTTTGTAGCAGCCGAGCAAAATGCAAAGCAATATGGAGGGAAATGCCACGCACTTATCAAGGGAAGCTATTTGTTGTGAAAATAAGAGAATGTAAACTCCTCGAGGCAGCTAGATGGCTCAGTGGGAGGCAGCTAGGTGGTGCAGTAGATAGAGTGCAGGGCCTAGAGTCAGGAAAACCTGGATTCAAATATGACCTCAGACACTTCCTGGATGTGTGATCCAGAGCAAGTCACAGTCACCCTGTTTGCCTCAATTTCCTCAGCTGGAAAATGAGCTGGAGAAGGAAATGGCAAATCACTCCAGTATCTTTACTAAGAAAACCCAATGGACAGCATTGGTGTGTACCCCACAACAATGAAGCTCCTGGTGGGGTGGGAACTGATTCAAATTTGCTTAATTACTTGTTGATGCTTAATTACTTGTTGGTTGATTTATTGAATGCACCAAAATACCATTTTCTGACCTTGAGTTAGTCCCTTCCCATCCCCCACCTTGAACTTATTTCCTGCCCTGTAAAATGAAGCGTTTAGACTACACAGCCTCTGAGGTTCCTGCCACCGCTAGACCTAGACCCTAGACCTATTATTTCACTGGTATGGAGAGACCTCCTTGCTGAGCAGGTTCCTTCCACCAATGTGGGTGGATGGGTACCTTGGCTTTAAGTTAGTGTTAGAGGGCAGAATCCAGCCACGTCAGACCCACAACACTCCAGAGTGAAACCCAAACCAGATGAAAATGTAATTGGGAAATATTTAACAAAATGAAAATACAATAGAACATAGACAATTTTGAGGCTCTTGTTTGATGCCACTATTGTAGAGGTATATGAAGGGGCAGCCTTGGAGTCAGGAAGACCTGAGTTCAAATGTGGCCTCAGACACTTGATACTTACTAGCTGTGTGACCCTGGGCAAGTCACTTAACTCCAATTATCTCGCTAAAAAAAGAAATGGGACCTGAACCCAAGTCTTTCTGGCTTGGAGTCTGGCTCTCTAGCCCTTATGAAGCCATTTTGTCTTTCAATTTTTAAAAATTGAGATGATAGATATAAAACATCCTGTAAACTGTAAAAACACATACAAAATGCCAGGATGCCCTGAGCTAGCCCCACAGCCTTGTGGAATCCAGGGAGAAAGTGCCCCTGCATAAGCCTGGAACTTCAGCTATCATCTAGTTCTGTGCTATCAGTTATTATCAACTTATAAAATCACAAATTTACATTTTCTGTGGATTATATTATATTTTTGTTTTGCCAAATATTTCCTGATTACATTTGGATCTGGGTCAGACAGCACTCAGGGGTGTTGGATTCAACTTGAATTTGACACTTCTGATTTAGACTAACCTCCCAACTTTCCAGATGTGAAAACTGAGGCCCAGACAGGTTAAGCAACTTTCTCTAGGTGAACTCTGGTCTTCTGACTCTCAGTGGAATAACGTTTTCCACTGTGCCATACTACCCCAAACAAGAGGCCCTCCCTGTGCTGTCAAAATGAGATGGGAGGAGATCGGGGAGCCAGAGAGCCTGGGCCCTTGCTGTGATGTTTTTTACCCCTCCCATTCATAACATTATCAAATCTAAGTTGTAGGAAAGGAGTATAGAGAAGTACTTGTTTTGTGGAACACCCAAAGCCTTCTGGTTAAGAGACTTGACAGAGCAATGCCCTTCTGTGATGCCATTAATTCCACAAAATTCTAACAGTGTGACTTGGGGGGGAGGGGGGTTCTGAACCTGTGAATTCCTCAGTGTCTTCCTGTTGGACAAGAGTTGTCTGGTACCACTAAGACATCTTGTGATTTGTTTGTGGTTGCACAGCTAAGTATGTGTCAGGGACAAGACTTGAACCCAGGTTCTCCTCACTCCTGACTCTTTCTTTGATCTTGCTTCTTATGAGACTGTGAAATTTCAAAAGATATCTTGGGATTTACGGACTAGATTTCTTTCTTAAGGACCAAGTCTTAAACCCAAATCACTCTGGCTCTCATTGATTGGCCAACCCTCACTTGGTCATTGTTTGGGCCCTGAAGGCTCAGAATGTGTGTAAATAGCAATTGTTTCTGTTTTGGCCAAAAACTCTGAGGGTCTTCACCTCCCAAATTGATTTTTTTTGACTAGGTAAAAGAGGCCATTCATTCTGTCATTTCTTACCTAGCCTTAAGGGGAGCCTTCTTCAGTTGTCCTGATGGATAGATATCTGGTCATTGGACCCAGGTGGCTCCAGAGGAGAAGTGAGTCTGGTGACTTTGAACAGCCCTGCCTCACTTAAATCCAATTCATTTGCAAGTCTCCAGCATCACCTTCCTGATGTCATGGTCCTCTTAGAGAATGAAGTACAAACAACAGCTTAGGTGAGTCTGGTCCTGTAAATGCTCATTCGGGAAAGTCACTATATAAATCTTTGAACACAAAGTAGGGTTATGGCAGAACAAGATTTCTCCAAAGTGGAATTACTGAAGAGCGTTGGTATTGTTTCACTGCCCAGCTGGAAAGAACTAGACTGTTCTTTCCAATGCGCCCAAGTGCCACCTTGGCACAACTTCGAGAGGTTGGGCCAATTACCATCTTGCAAATCTTTCAAAATTCCAGGCAGAATTCCAGTTTAAGGAGCTGGGGGGAGGGGTGCATAAATTAATATATGATTTCAAATTTATTAAAATGGAATGCCATTGCCACAGTCTACGTTACATGTCCTTCAGCCTATTCCCAGTCAAATCAGAGATTCTAGATGGACCCATAGCAATGAGATTCGGAGTAGGGGAAAGGGGCCAAAATAAAGTAGAGCCCAAGGCTATTTAGTCACATGAGCATCTCGTGTCTCCCAGGACAAAAGGGTTAGGGACAAGGAAAGATGGTGGCAGAGCAGGGAAATTGGGGTTTGGAAGAAAATCTGGTGTCTGTCTCTGAGACAAGGTCAAAGATTATAGTGAGAGAGAGAGAGAGAGAGAGAGAGAGAGAGAGAGAGAGAGAGAGAGTGTGTGTGTGTGTGTGTGTGTGTGTGTGTGTGTGTGTGTGTGTGTGTGTGTTGCTTAGAGGGGAAGGGGGGAAGTATTTTATGACTTACCAGGAATTGGGACTTTTAAATCTCTTGGCAGGTGGCTTGGCTAGAATCCCTCTTCTGACCTCTAAGCCCATTTACCCACAGACCCCCTCCTTCATCTATATTCCCTAGATATTTGCTATTTCTTTTCTCTCCTGTTCCTTCCTCTGTACAGGCTGAGATTCCCTAGAATTTCTGTTGAATTTGGATAAGGGAGTGGGAAATAAAAGTTATGTTTAAGCACATAAGTACCACATAAGAGGGATTAGCTTTGTTCTACTTGGGGAGTGGGGTGGGATGGAGTACTGGGAGCTATGGTTAGAAGTAGCAAGAGAAAAAATGTAGTTTTGATATCAGGAAAAAATTCCTAACGATTAAAACTTTCCAGAAGTGTAATGGGCTGCTTTGGAAGATAGTGGGTTCTTCCTTACTGGAGACCTTAAGGTAAAGACAGGATGTCTACCTGTCAGGTATGTTGTAGAGGGAAATCTTGGTCAGTAATGGTTTGGACCAAATGGCCTTTTGGGTCCCTTCCAACTCAGTGCTTCTTTTTGATCTGGATTTGGAGTCAGAGAGCCAGGATTCAAATCCTGTTTCTTTCTGAAACTTGGAATTTGTGTGGGCCTCATTTTCCTCTTCTGTAAAATAAAGACCATAATCTCTAAAGTCCTTATCAACTCTAAAACTGAGATGCTAACGAATTAGAAGGGACATATCTAGTTTCTGTTCTGAAACTTTTGTAACATGATGTCCTGAATTATTTTGTGAGTTGTTTCCCTGTATAAAAGTCTTTATCACACCAGGGAATGTGGGTCATTTGGCTCTGGCTACTGCTGTCCAAAGCAATGCTGGGTGCCTTCTGGTTGCCAAGGTTTGTAGCTGCCTATCTCCGAAATGATAATTTTGTATCTCAAAACTCTTTTGCGTCATCCCCCATCCTCCCTTTCTTCAGTCTCCAAGAAGGAGTAAACTTCTTCCTTGCCAAGGTTAATCCCTTATGGCCTAACTCAAACTTTAATTTCACTGAGGTGGTCTAGGCTTAGGGCCTATAGGTACTTAAGAAGTATTGTTTGGTGTGTTGAATTAGAAGGTGAACTCCTGGAGGGCAGGAGATGTTTCATTTTTGTCTTTTTATCTGTAGTACCCAGCATGGTGCCTGGCACAAGAGCAGGGCCTCCATAAACACTTGTTGACTGATGATCAGAGTTCTTAAATCTTTTGTCTTTACAATATTGTTGTTCTATATAACTTGTTCTTCTGGTTCTTCACTTTGCATCACTTCTTAGAAGTCTTCCTAGGTTGCTTTGAAACCATCCCTTTCATCATTTCTTACAGCACAATAGTATTCCATCACATTGATATACCATAACTTGGTTGGCCATTTCCCAATTGATGGGTACCCCCTCAAGTTTCCATTTCTTTGCTTGTTACTTAAGTAGGGGTGGAGTGACTGACTCAATCAGCCCCTTCCCTTACAATAGGA